GAGAGAGAGAGAGAGAGAGAGAGAGAGAGAGAGAATAAGAGAGGAAACATTTTAATCAACACTATGTGTCAAGCACATTTGTAAAGTGCTTTACATTAATTTATTTAATCTTTTCAACCATCCTGTGAGGAAGGCACCACCATGCTCATTTTTCAGGTGAGAAAACTGAATTACAAAGAGGTTATGTACCTCACCTAATATCACACTACCAGTCAGGTTTGAGTTACTAGTTGAATCCACGCAGTTTGGGTCCAGTGTCTAACTCTACACTTTCTTTAGGGCTCAGTCTCAGTCACCTACACAGTGAGGCCTTTTAAGATCACTCTCCCTACCTAACCCTCTTTTTCATTAGCCAACTCTGAAACCCCCAAGCAATCTCCTTCTTAGGGTTGTGCTTGTCATTGTTGAAAGATATGATGGAGCCCAGTTCAATGCAAGTGAATCTAAGAGGATATAAGCTAATGTATTGAGGTGAATAGCCTTTCGGTTGTCTAAATTTGTCAAAGACCAGTATTTATTTATGCAAATTACCTGTGTTCATGATAGGCTTCAGTAGAACTGAAACACTTAACCAAGCGTTTTCATCCCAGCAGAGTTTGCACAGTCCTTGACACCTGGAAACGGTCCTGATACTATCAGCTCATCATTGTTATCAGGCACTGGCCTGGCACTCTCAGCCAGGCCATAGTGTTCTCAGCGGAATACACACATTTTCACAAAACAGCAACATCAGACAGGGCTACTCGGCAACCATGATGAATCAAGAGGGAAGCAAGACCTTTTTATGATTATGTCTGAATACAGGCAAGAACATAAACATTTTCCAAAGCATAAAAAATAGCCAAATCACCCTATCCTGCCTATATGAGTGATCGCTTTTTACCAACCACTGCTTTGTTCTCACCCTGTTCTTCGCTCCTTCTAAATAAGATTTATGAAGATACCTAATCATAGAATTACCTGTGCTTTTTGATAGCATCTAATGTAGAGCAGAGCCCCACTTCATTGAACCCTGTCTCCAATCACCTAACACAAGGCCAAAACATGTCTACTTCCAACATGTATGAGCAGTCCCATGGTCTCCCTTATTGCAACGAGCAGCAAACCCACCTTGATCATCTACAGGTGTGTTCTGAATGGTCTTTGGCTGGAGGACATGAATACACTCTTATTGTGTGATCCACACATTTAACACTGATCTATGCAATTTCTTTCACGTGTCTTATTATGTTTCTCAATTATATTGATTCTTGCAGGCACTGAAGTTATCGCTCTGAAAACTTATGTTGGTGTTTTATGTTAATTACTTAATGACATTTATAATTGACCGAACAGTTCACATTTTCTTTTTCTTCTTTAGGAACCAACTACTATTTCAGCAATGGAGCTTTCCACTAAGCAGGTACTATGGCTATGTATTAAAATCAATATTCTATACTTTTTTTAGTTGTATCTTTCAAATACATAAATATATTTATCATCCATCAAATTTTACAAATGTATTAATAAATGTTCAATAAAACAAGCTAAAAGGAAGACTGTTCTTACAAATTAGGAGAATGAAAACTGAAGACAATTTTCATTGCCCTCATGATTTTGACCAATCTCATATATGTCCTATAAATATATTTCTTAGATGATTATTTGTTGTAAATTTTCATTTATAATATTTCTTTTTTGGACATTTTGTAATATAATTTAATTAATAATTATTTTCATTTATTTCTATCCTTTAAAAATAATAGTGGTGGATATTTCAGAATATAAATAAATTTATAACTTAATTTAATTTGCATGTATGAACAAAATACATTTTATTGAATAAAATTATGCACTGGACTATATATGTTTGGAGGATCTTGACTTAAAAGGTAATTTTACTTTTCTAGTAGTTTTATGTTCCAGAGAAAACATTCAGTTTGGCTAAATATGAAAGGAAAAACAGCAAAAATGGTCACTGCCAAATGATATTATTAAACTCCATGAAATCAGAGGTTATGGATAGCATGTTAATAGTCTTTTCATTCACACTGAATGAATGCTTTGGCAAGACACTTCTAACAAGTTATATTTCCCCATAAGTGTTACCTAGCCTTTCTATCCAGTATATAACTGGTAAATATATATATATATATATATATATATATATATATATATATATATATATATATATATATGCTTGGATACTGAGTTGAATTAATTGTTAATTATTAAATAACCTAGTAGAAAAAAAAAACAAAACAGAGTGGGGAGCCCCTCACTCATTGCAGTGAAAGCTTACCTACAAATTTTTAAATATGCAAATCACTTGGCTAATATCATTCCTTGACTGTTCTCTGACCATGCTTAACCCCTAAAATTGTACAAGATACTAAAATACCATTCCATTAAAAGTCAGTGTATAGCCTTTCGTCACATACCTGTCAAAAGATTGATAGTCTCCAAAATATTTACAGAAACTCAGAGTGCCGATGTTATTGACTTCACACAGTTATCTTACACTTCATAAGCATGCGTTCACCTGTTCTTGTAATCTAAAAATGGTCAAATGTTGGGAGGGAAATCGGGGGATTTCCAGGAGGAGAGCGAGACTAGGGTATCCTTTTCTGTAATGATGTTTTAAGTTATTTATTCTCTGCTAGCCTTCATTCCCAATCTTAATTACATTATATCCAGTATTGTAAAACATTCCTTCCTGTTTAAAAAAAAATGTAGACCACTTTAAGAATTGCCTATTAAATGCAACACATTTCACCAAAAAGCAAACAAAAAAAAGCAGTTTATCAATTTAAAATACCATGATAATAAAAATACCTCTAGCCTTCATTCTCCATTACTGGAAGTTTGATTTTGTTAGTATGTGACTCAATTTCACTCCTGCTCATGGAAATTTTAAAAGTGAGGCAGTAATTCCAAGAAGGAAAAGCAGTGTTGCAACTAATTTTATGGATAAATGGACTCATCTCCTGCTTTATGACCTGCAACTTGTTAAGGAGGAGAGTGAGAAAGCCTGTGGTGATGTTAAATTGGGCAGAAAAAACACATCAGGTTACTTACTGGTGACTGGATTATGCTCAATGGTGCCTGCAAGCCTCCCCTATATTTCATTTAGATAGCATAATTAGTTTTGCAAATCATTAATAGCACTGAAGAATAATTGTCAAATATAAGCTAGCCATTGAGTGGTTTTTAATTTTTGGCATTTTATCACACTTCAGGTTTTCATTACAATAATTTCACTTGCCATATTTTGGGTTTTCTATTTTATATGTAGTCCATCTTTGAAAGTGTTTTGGACATGCAATTTTATACATATCCATTGCTGACTGTCAGGCAATTTGTAGTATTTAAAAGAGCACACCATGGTTCAGAGAGCAGCTTTTCTGTAACTTATGCTTTATTTATATAGTTGAAAGATGAAAATACTTTTAAGATCTTTTTTATGCATATTGTTACATGTTTTAGTATTTACACAACTTTGATTTAAGGCTTGCTATAATTATTTAATCTTTAGTGCAAGAAAAGGTATCAATGACACCAATTACAGTAAAATGTGGAGAAAACAAAATAATTTTATTTGTATTTCATTTTGTGTTTACATAAATTTGCAGCTGATATACTACAGTGGCTCAACTTTGTTAAAGGCATTTTTCACACAATACTGAAATCTTGAATAGTTGCTGCTAAAGTGTTGTGGGGTATTTTTGTTTTTCTTTTTCTAGATCCTGTCTCAATTGGTAACTCCAAATTAATTGAGGATAAGACATTGCAGAATATCTTATCTGGATGCATGCTTTAAAGATTCTGATAAATATGCTTGTTTTATGGATAAGGAAAATAAGTCTTAGAAAAGCTGTGTGAAGGTCACAAGGTCACATATACAGTTAATATAGGGCAAGACCTAGAATCCGGGTATCTGATGCCCAGTACAGCCCCTTTCTCATAATACCTGAGATCTTGGTTCAAGTCCACTGCACTTGTCAAAGTGTACTTGATGATTTTTCCAATAAGAAGTAATTTAGTAGCTATGTTTGAAGTAATCTTCCTGGAGGTAATGCTTGGTTTTATACTTATAAAATACACCTGTTTCAGTCCAATATTTAAATTTTGATCTTACTCTACTTTATTTTATTTTACTTATTTATTTATTTTAGCTGAGCCATCCTGCCACCTGTTGGCAGCTCAGCAGCAGCTCAGCTCAGGCCGGGAATTGAACCAGTGACGCTATTGCTCAGAGCTTGCACTCTTGAGTGAGCTTTTAACCAACTGAGCCACTCAGCCAGCACAATCTTACTCTATTTTAAATGGTGGCAATATCTGCCAGGCCTTTGAAGAAGCTACCAATTACTGGGATAATTTTTTTTAATCCACTAATATAAATTTATCTTTGATAAGATATGTATAAGTAAAAATTTTTTAAGAAAAAAAGGGGATTTGAAAAACATAATAATTTTTGTCCTAACAGTAATCTCTTTCCACAGCAACAACTATATATCGGCTCCATGGCGGGGGTCGCCCAGCTCCCGTTACACAGATGTGATATTTACGGCAAAGCCTGTGCTGAGTGCTGCCTCGCCCGAGACCCTTACTGTGCCTGGGATGGCTTTTCATGCTCGCGCTATTTTCCTACTGCAAAGAGGTAGGAAAGATATTAGAAATAAAGGCAGTTGCTGTTTCTGTTTATCCTACCTAATTCTATTTTTGGAACAGCTTTCTTCATATAAGTATATAAACTCTTTCTGATGAGTAAAAACAGGTTTAGAGGATTTTTTTTTTCTTTCCCTTAATTAGTAAAGAAAAATCAGAAAACTGTATAATCCAATGATTGGGTATTAACTATAATGGAACAAATGGTTTTAATAAATTACTGAGGGAAATCTGAAACATCACAATAATGTCCTTGAATATTTACACTTGGAAATTATAAAGTTTTGCAACTTTATGTTAAACGGGGGGAAAACAGGGCCAAAGCCACAGAGGAAGTCACAAACAGAATCAAAAGTGGGCCTTGTGTTTTTTAACCAAAATGCTGGTTTGCCCCCCAAATGCTCTTCTTTTTCAATCCAGCAACATTCTATCCTGGTTTTAAATTTTAATAAGGCAATTTATATCCTTGGATAAACAGAAAATTTTCAGAGAAATTTATTTAACTTTAGAGTCTTAGGGAGTACACAGGGACCCAGTTATAAAAAGTTAAGAAAAATTATTTCTAGTTTTGAAGATATCATTTTTTTGTATAATGTTGATTAGCATCAGAATATAGATCTTCATTTGACCCAAAATATATCTTTATTTGACTCAAACAGTTTAAAGGGTCAAAATTGAATTTATTATAGTAATATTATAGTATCATCTTGTACTTGCAGTGGTTGACTTGAAGTATAAAACTATACAAATATACATATATATATATATGTATACACATATATTTAGGTATAGTCTTGGTAAAGCTTAAAAGAATTTTTGTATTTTTTGGTCATGCTTAAATAAAAGTTGCTAAGATATGTCTAGAACTTATCTAAAACATTATGTTTACATAAAGCATACTCGTAGCTGTAAGTTGCTGTCTGGGAGACTGAATGCATTAGGAACAGACATTTGAACATTTGATATAATGTTATATTCAGGAGGTGAAGTTAGACTCAGGAAATTCCTAGCACATCCTAAAAGTTGTGTGCAAACTTGGTTTACGTTTTCTTTAAAAAATAAAAACATTTGCTTCATTTGACAAAAGAATCACCACAACATATTCTTCACTGCTCACTTATGGCTACCTTTTTCTGTTGGTATTTCCAAGAAATGAGCAATGATAGATGAAAGTAATATACAATATCTTGCTAATATAAATCTAAAGATTAACAATATACACACAACCTATACAATCATAAAATAGAAATCAGCATTATCAAGCCACTGCATTTTAGGATACAGATATATATATATATATATATATATANATATATATATATATATATATATATATATATATATATATATATATATATATATATATATTTATAGTAATGTTGTGCATGAAGCTATGAATGTGAATTACTTTCATTGCTAGTGAGTTGTGTTGTACATTTGCTTTATTTTAAATGTTTGGGGGAAAAAAGATTAGGTGAAAGAAATAACCCTAATATCTAATAAAATCTATTGATTATATACTTTAGACAAATTAACTATAATGGTAAATCACCTATAACTTAATCTATCATATAATCAGTCCATATGGATTAAAACATAGTTATCTTGTTAATGATATTAATGTAAATGTAGTATTAACTAATACCATTTAATAAATACAATTTTCTAAAGCCTTTAATATTCAGGATTGAGATAACAAAATTATATCACTTTCATAGACCTTTTGTAGGAAATATAAATTTAAAACAAAACTGTGTGGAGATAATGTGTTATTGATTAAAGAAACCATGGATAGTTTAATAAACAGCAATATGCATTTTTACAGCAATCAAATTAAATTATTTGACTAAGATTTTATGAGTCTTGAAATCATTTAACTCAAGGGGCTTTAAAATGTTACTCAAAAAAAGTGAAATTCATATTTTAACTAAAAATGAGTATTATTTCCTTTTCATGCAAAAGTGTATAGCATTGCCTAATTTAGTAATAATCCATTAATAATTTTAAACTAACTTTAATAAGAAAAATCAAAATAATCATAACTTCATTTATAATGTTAAAAGCTGCATATTATTATATATTTCAAATGTGTTTATTGTATACCTACAATCCAAGATTGAAAGAATTATCATTAACACATTTTTTGTTGTACCTTGCAGATTTTATTTAATCCAATTTCATTTATCTTTGAAAAAGATGTTCAGAGCCCTCACATTTATCTATTCTTTGTGATGGCGTTTTTCAAAAGCTTAAATTGCAGTAAAAAGTGCCTTCCCAAATGCTTTGTGGTTCGTGTTTCACAAGTTCTCTTGTTGGCTCAATTCTGAAATTTGCAACATCTGTTGATAGTCTCACCAATTCTACAAATAGAAATCTATAAATACTTTGGAGTTCTAAATTTATGAATACAGTAACAAATTCCATGTTTGCAATTCTCAATGGCCTTTGTGAGAGCTCTTTTCAGGGATGGTAACTAACTTTGCAGCAAGACAATACCCATTAAAATAGATGCAGAAAACAGTTGGGCAAGTGTCCCCAATCTTTTCCAGTCTGTTACACATAGGCAATCTCCATTTTTAGCCTCTTTCTGGAACTACACATCTAGTTTGCACCACAATGGCTGGAGCCAACCTACTTCTTCCCAGTCAACCATTAGCAAAGTGCAGAGAAGGTACCCAGAATATCACACAACTAACATAATCTGAGCAGTAAGATGTAGGAGAAACTAATTTAGAATTTTACAGCAAATTTGGCTTTTCTTTTAGAGGTAAATTCATTGTCTTCTCTCTCGCCTTCCTCTGACAAAAGGAAGCCTTGCTCCTCAATATTTATTGTTGCTTTTCTTTTTTTATTCACTTCACAGGTAAATCGGTTTGCAATCATAGCCATATGATCATGAAAGAAATGTTTTATTTTCAAAAGGTTGATATAGCAACCAAAAAGGAAAATTGAAAACTAACTTAAAAATAGAACTCGTAGTCTTAATGCTTTTAAACTTAACAAAAATCTATTTAAGGAATTATGTATATACATTAAGAGCAAAAGAACGTTCATGTGAATTTTAATTTCCAAGCTTACTCCCTCATTAGTAATCAGAAAAAAACAACATTTAATTCTGTTTATTAAAGAGATGGGCTTTTATTCTATATTTTGTGCTTTTTCCTCAGAGTTCAAGGTGTTAAGAATTCAGGAGTTTATAGATGTTAGATTCTTATTAATTGACATGCAGTAGCAAAAACACATGGATTTTCTGTTATCAATACTTTGAAAGACTTTTAGCATGTTGTTAGTACATTTGTATAATTTCCCATTTTGATCATCTTGGAGACTGCTCTTACAGGAACAATGCGCTGCTTTTAGAAAATTTCTTATTCAGATGTAGGTACATAAGCTCCTAGAATCTTTGCTTTTTTATTCTTAATTCTTATGACAAACTCCCAAGAGGGAATAGAGATACAATAATACCTTTTAAATGTAATCTTTTTAGACGCACAAGACGACAAGATATAAGAAATGGAGACCCACTAACTCACTGTTCAGACTTACAACACCATGGTAAGTTATAACATTTTTCATCTTTCAACCCGCTAATAGCAGGATAAAATCATAAGAAATAATGCATGCTCACATTCATGTAGGGCACACACCCCTTCCAGAATACTTAGAGAAATGCAACTAAAAAGAAAGAAAATCAAGGAGGAAGAAAACTCTAGAGAACACAAAGCACTGAGTTATGTCTTACTATTGCAGGTGTGATAAATTCAAGATTTTAGACCTGTATGAAACTTAAAGCTCAATTTTCTCATATCAACAAAAGGAAGCCAGTTTCAGTACATGTTTTCAGTAGCAATGTGATAGTAGTAGGCTACAAAAATATTCATTTAAATATAGCAAGAAGAATGTGTGTTCTTAAAATAAGCCATGCAAAGTATTCATTAATATGCTTATGATATAGAACCGATACACTGTTTTGGGTTTCTAGTCAAGTAGAAGATAATGCCAATGTCTTCACACTGATTTACTAATAGGATATTCTCTTGAACTGGGGATTTTTGGACCAAGTTCATTTTATGCCTCTTAAGAGACTGCAAGGCCTGTTTAATGTCAGTTTAATGCTGAAATACCAACCAATCTTCCTTTAAAATGCAGTAAAATTGTAGTATGGCTCAGTCCTCTACTTCAACCCTCCAGCAGAAGTAATAATGAAGCTGTGCTTCCCTCTGCTGGGGATACTTATCAATGGCATCACTGCTGATGAGCAATTCATAGTTAAAAATGGCTAAAATGTAAACATTTTACATGTAATTGAACATGATTATCCTATGAACTTTTTTGGTGCCTTTAACATTAATCCTAAAAGAAGGTCTAATATTTTTATCAGTTAAATTGGATTTGATCTACTAATTCTACAAGTAGAATATTCATGTTTCATGAATGTTATAAAAGGAAACTCACTGCACAAATAGCATCCTAGAATGCACCCCACCTAGCAACGGTTCTGAAAGTTGTACCCCCTGTTATGTATCCCTATACGTGCCAGTGTGTGATTCATGAACGCTCACAGGATGGTTTGAAGGATGTCAATTACAGGAGACAGGTAGCCATGAATTGAGCCTACAGGCTGGATCTATTTGCTTGCAAATTTTTTTGCCAAGGACTTTCCAGTTTGTTCGTCATTAGAAACAAAAATGATAACACTAAATTAGAGCAAATGCTATGAATTTCTGTCTTTGTACAGATATAGTGCATTATTGACATACCCTCCTTAAATTTCTCAAATGACGTAATTCAGTTGGAAGACAAAACATGCACTGGTCTTCCATTAATCTAGCTCACGTAAAACATTGAATTATGATCCATTTAAGCAGTATTTTGAAATATTAGTTGAATTAAAGAATTATTTGCTTAGCTATGGAGAAACTAACGATAATAACTGGAAGTAAAAGAAAAGACAATGTAACCGGACCTCATTTTTAATCAAACAGATTAATATGGACCTTGTTATTTTGGTCATTCTTATATCTCTAGGGCTATCACAGATGCAATATCATGAATATCAATAATAGTAAATATCGTGTAGATATTTAAAAAATATTTTTGAATGAATAATCTAAATATTTCAAGCTATAACATAGATAATTATTGTTTTTGTTTTTCAGTAATTTGAACTAAATAACACCTATTATTTATTGTGAAAATAATTTAAGTCATATGTTGTTATTATTAAAACCATCATATCCAGAAATAAAATCTCTTAAGAAATATCAACCAATTAACTAATAAACAATTATTATATACCACTATATGTTGGAAACTATGCTACATTTTGAAGATTTCTGGAGAATTTTATATATAAATCTATATATTTTACTAATAATTTTTAATGTAATACAACATTTTATAATTTTAATATAATATTTTACAGATACACCTATTTGTTTAATAATCCAGTCCCTTCATAGACCCAGTTAGAATTATTTTTAATTATGTATATGCTGCAATTATGAGTGTACATATATAAGGAAAAGCTGACCAAATGCATATTTATTTTTTACGAGGCCAAACGCGTATTTTTTGAGACTGTGGATAAATTAACATTGACTGTTGATTGAATGGGCATCAGAGAGTTGTTCAGATTTTAAAGTTGTGTTTGAATAAAATTAGACTGGAAAAAGCCTTGTAAAAATTGAGAATATAGAATTGCTTAGCTATAGAAAGTAAAACGAACATAAATCAGCTTTCCTCCTGTTCTTCCATCGGAATGTACACTGTAGGGAGAAAAGAGGATTGCTGTGGTTCACTGCTACTGGGGCGTGCGCACGCGCATCTGCATGAACAGCTCAAAGTAGATGTCTGTGATATATGGGAGGACATGGTAAAATAGTGCAAGAAGCTCTGTAGCAATAAAATATTCCCTTTTAAAAGGCCTCTTTATTCCTTGTCTTATTGTACTGATAATTGACCAAGCATAAAAAAATATACCCCAAAGATTATAGTCAATTTCAAATATTTGGGCAGTAAGTCAGGCATACCCATATGGCGAGGCTGCGGCCAACCATTAGGAACCAGTGAATTATCCTGGAATGGGTGTTATCAATATTTGAAAGTGAAATAGGCAAAAATCCAGAGCCCAGCCCTTTTAAGTCATGTATGTTGCCTTGCTAATGTCACATCTCACATTGAATAAAATATATATGCTCATATGGAAACATATAAAGATATGAGATGTTTTCACAAAAAGCTGCTAAGCAACTTGAAGCCAAATATACACTTCAGAACAATCAGTTCCAGCTGTCATGGTAAACATATTTTGTAACACTCTATATTTTACATATACTGAGGTTTTAATAGAGAGGCTATCTAAAATAACTCAGAATTAAGTGGAAGAAGTTTACTCTCTATGAAACCTTTAACACTCACTCAGTGCTCTGCTCCCTCTCGTGTTCAGGCAGCACTAAAGGTGAGCTGGTCTAAGGAAAATATAGAAACATCCAGCTTCACGCCCCTTGATACCCAACATGCTCTCTCCTCCATTACTGGTGGCCATTTACCTGGGGAAGGCTTAATATATATATATATATATATATATATATATATATATATATATATATACACANACACACACACACACACACACACACACACACACACATATACTGGCAGATCTTCTCTCCCCATTCACACCACATACAGAATGCCAAGGAGAAAACTCAGGTTGTTTCTAATATGTCCCCTTCCCTAAAATAACTGTTGTGGCCAAAATTGGACCTCGTCTGACTTTGTATTCAAGAGCACGAATGACTGAGTCAATTTACCTTTAAACCACCTCCCATGGAATGAGCCATACTATGATCTACATGTCCAGAGAACAAAAACTACACCACAAGTAACATTTTTAAAAATTAATATCATCTCAGACTCTTGAATCTCTGAAATATTTTATATCCTAACTTCTAGTTTAATGCCATCATTGAACTTTACTTTGTAATAGTTCTCTTGGCTCGTCTACGTACATACATTTCCTTTCTCGCATCCTGTAATAAAACATCCACAGAATTCAATTTTCTTAATTATCTCCACAATTAGCTCAATTTATGTCCTGGTCGACATCAAAATCATTCCAAAATTTTATAAAGTATCTTTGGCAGTGTCATCTTTATGGTCTGCAGAGTTGTGATTTAGTATTTTGTAGCAACACTAATCTGGCCTGTGCTTTGGCTTCTATTGTACATGTAGAAAATCCAACTATGAATCTGAGCCTTTAGCCCCAAGAGAAGCTTCAAGATTTGATAGACGACCATGATGTCAGCCTTAAAAAAAAAATCTCTAACTTTAATAAATTACCAAATTGTATCAAGTCTAAGATGTCACTGAATGTAAGATGCAACATTATGTTATGTACTGCTAAGAAAGAAATATTGTAAAAGATGGGCAATGCAATGGATGGTCCCAGCATCAAGCCAGGACGCAATATATTTCAGTATTAGCACAAAGGGGAAATACATCTCCATGCAGAAGAAGATAGCAAGGGAAATATGCTTGTTTCCATCACAATTATGGGTAGTGGAAAAGAGGTAAAAATACCTCTTGAACCACAGGGTGGTATTCATGAGGTTGACTTTCTGAATTCACACTAACAGGTGGACCACAATTTTAATTTGAAGAGGTATCAGGGTAGTAGGGTCTCATGTGTCTGGCAGAAGAACACGGTTTTTTCTGGGAGGAAGTCACTTCACAGATCAAGAGCAACTGTAAGACACATGCTGATCTCAGAGATCTTAAAATATAAAGAAGTGTGCATCTAGAATGAGATTTCTACAGTATTATCTTCTGTAACTTTTGTAAACCTATATTGAAACTATTTTTACTGGAGATGACCAGTCATCACAGTAGTCATCTCCTTGTAGTACCTTAGGCAAATAATCCAATTTTTCATAGTATATGTGTGCAAGACATGCACATCCAACCTGAGTAAGAAGACTTTTGAAATATGTCATGCCATCATTGTTCTTTATTAAAGTTTTAAATATGTCATCAGAGATCATCCAAGTGTTTTACACCTATGATTTAAACATTGTAAATGGAATGTCTTTAAGCATGCTGTATTTTTTAAGTTCCAAAACTTATCAGGACAACATATGAAAATGCAAGATGGTATTTTCATTAGTGTTTATGGAAGATTTCTGCTGTAGCAAGTGGGTGATTTCCATCATCTTGTACCATAACTCTTAGGGAAAAGTAAATTAAACATCAAAGTTCATGTTTCCTGTTTTTAAATATGCAATTTCCTATGATAATTTTACTCAGGTATATAGAGTATGTGTGCTTTCTTGGTAAAGCATTTGCTATAAAATTATGAAAATAAGACATGTTCAATACAGACTAAAATATTGAACTAAAATAATATTACAGTAGATGTCTTCATATTGGTGTGGCTTTTTAAGTTTCTGCCTTCTATATACTAAGAAGCATTGCAGACTCTGACATCACAAGATATTAAGTACAGTATTAAATGCAACTATTCAAATGGTTTCATAGTTAATACCTCAATTTCATTTTTATGTTTTGAATTAATAAATCTCTAAAAAAATAAGATACTAATGACTCTCTCTGAAACAAATCCTTATGAGCAATAAAATTAAAATACCCTGGTCATATCTGTCTATCTATCTATCTATCTATCTATCTATCTATCTATTAACAAGAACATATTAAACACAAATCCACAGGAATCTGTGGATTCAAGGAAGATTGGAAACTACTTTAATTATGAAATTTTAAATGCTATACACTGGTGGATAGTTATTTCCCAACACCAGAGGCAGATCTTAATTTAGAGCGTACTACAAAGTCTTTTAAAATTTAAATTCATTTTAGCAAGTTGATAAATTATAAGTTTAAATTTTCTCTAAGGTTTCATTAATTGAATCTTTTTTCATACTTAACAAAGAGTTGTATTAAACACATGGACTTTAATATATACCTATGCATGCATTTCTAGGTGCATTCATGCATGCGTGCAAACTAGCATTTAACATACATTGACAGAGAAACTCATTGGTATGAGAATCACAGAAAACATTGGAGAAGCATTGTACTGAGCATCATCTTGTAAATAAAGAGGATCACTGTTATATAGATTAGTAATACTATAGAATTTGTTTTTAAGTGAACTACAATATAGAAGATTGAATCAATTGTTAGTAGTCTTCATAGTCAGATCCAAAACTATACATGTATGTTAAAAATTAATTGAATTTTCTTTTCAAATTTTTGTATTTGTAAATATTTTATATCTTCCCAAGAGTTATTAATTCATCTATGAAATGCCTTTTCAGCCAGTGCTACTTATAAAGATATAATTCATCCATTCATAGCCAAATTCATCTTTTCTATTGATAAAGTGCCTGCTGTATCTCTGGAGAAAGTCATCTAGAATCTAGTAAGGAAAATCCAAGTAATGATGTTTTTACTCTAAAAGTGCATAGCTGCAATTTTCTATGTCACCAAGAATTGATGGGCAACACTTCCTTTCCTCCTTTGCTTAACCTTTAAGAATGAATATTACTAAGAAAAAATTTTACTGTAAAATATTAAAATTACAATGTGATAAAAACAACTGGAATTAGATTTATCTTTATGTAGTTCAGCAACTATTTGCTAAATATTTAAAATCATTTACAACCACTCCCCCAAATTAAGTTTTACTTTTATATTATTTACAAAATTCAATTTTTCAATAACCTAAAGGGGAAGACATCAAAAATGATAACAAAGATCAAATAGTTGAATAAATATGTGGTTCACTACCTCACCCATCTCTGACTTTTCTACATGACATCAATTTTTTTAAGATTGTTAAATTATTAACATTTCAATCTTGGGAGACATTTATGGGGTTAAAGTGGAATAAATGGAGAGCTGAAATGTGATGCCTTCTGTTTTTGCTATATTGGAAGAGAATCAAATACTAAATAAGGCCTTCAGCAACATGATATTTCTGGCCGAATGATGGATATCATGACTTTTTGTTGTTACAAAAGGAAGCAATTTATTTAACTTCTTTCTTTCCTCCCATTCTTTCTGGTTTATTAGGCTCATTTCATTTCCATAAATTATCCCACTAAAAGAGGAAATGATTAATTGAAGATTGCTTCCTTAAAAACATTATTTCTTGTCATTAACAGCTGCAGTGTATTGTAACATTGTGTTATTCAAACACACTGTGGTGCTTTTAAAACAATTTTAATGTTTGTCGCTCTCAATTATTTTGCTCTAACTCTTCAATTCAACCCATGAGAATTCATTATACCAATTTAACAATTATATCCTCTTGTCTACTAGTAATTTTCATGACAAAAGTTTGTATTCAAAACAGTTGCTTTCCTCTAAGTGCAAAATGTATTTTAAAAATACTTAAAATGAGATTCCTTTCTTTCTGGAAATCTACAAGATTACTCCTTGGCATGGACATCCTTTAGAGGTAGAGGTGTCCCTGGAGATGTGAGAATGTATTCATGTAATTTATCGAATCTCTTTCTCTTCTTATTATACCATATTTGGAATTTCTGATTTTGGACTATACTTGATTAGTCATCATTTTCCCCCACCAGATCTCAAAATCAATGTTATAACATTCTAAAACTTAACAAATTTAGAAGATTTGAAATGTTTACATTTAACAGTTGTTTAATATCATCTTCTGACACAATCGGGGTTGTAAACTCTATGCCATTTTTAATTGATTAAAGTTTAAATTATTTTAATAAAACTATGATAACTGTCTTGAGGATGTCAAAGTTACATGAGATTTCAGCTTTTAAATACAGAGTTAATAGTTACCTGGATTTTGCCCATTCATCAAATGTCAGCTAAGGGTTTATGTACACCTAGTGCCAGGATTACAGAATACACAGTATGAAGGAAGATAACCAGATTAATAAATAATTATAGCAAATGAGGCTCCATGTGCTCTAAAGACATATGCAAAAAGAGATTTTTAAGAAGCCTAGAAGAGGAAATACTTCCTTTGATGGTAGTGAGGGAGTAGGATTGATGTTGGGGAGGAGTTCATAATTTGTCTTATTATAAATTGTCAATAAAAGATTTTAAGTTTTAAATTAACAGTTGAAACTCTCATAAGAACAGAAATAACAACATCACCTCACGTATTTATGACAATTTCTGTGTCCAGGCATTATACTGCTATTTTATGTAGATATATATTTAAGAACTACAAAAAAGATGTTAAAAAGTGTTATAAAATTTTGTTATCTGTAGTTATTAAATGACCTAATATACTTCAGACAATTTTCAATTGCTTGATTAAAAACAAAGGTAAGATAAAGATAGCAGTAATGCCACACAGGCAAAGCAGGTATGCTGACAGAGAACAAAACCAGGCATGCAGGAAGAACATATTTACCAAAAAATTATTAGGGTAAGATATAAAATTTTCTAACAGGTTTTTTGTTTGTTTTTGCTTGTTTTTGTTTGTTTGTTTGTTTGTTTTTGCCAATGTATAGAGGGAAATATGATTAACAGATGAATCACAGAGTTCATTTAAAAATGAATTGTTCAAAAGAATCTCAATAATTCCTAAAAACTAACACCAGAAAGCAAAAGATAAACATCTAGAAACACTACAATGCAATGAACACCATGCTCAGTAACATCGAACATAAACAGTTAGCAAATCCATACAGTATTACTTATGGGTTCCCTCAACCTAGGTCAGAGGGACCTCACACAACACAATTCAATAAAATTAATTATGTCATGGGATTAACACAATATGTTCCATGCAACTACTCTCAGATCAACTAATGCAGAGGGAGATTATAGATAATATTTACCATGAATATGCAAGATTTCATTACTTTAGAAAATCTTTAATGAACAAGGTTTTCTCAGTTGAGCTTTTGATTTATATTGAATAATTATGAATTTGATAGTATATTGCTTTGAAAAATACTTATGGCATTATAACTATACTATGCTGCCATTTCTATGCTTTGCTTTAATAAAGTCAATATCATAGTACATTTGCATCGTAAGAAAACATTGAAAATCTAGTAGGGATAGAAGACAAGATTCAAAATATTGTTTCAGTCTATAATTTTTTGTTTGAGAGAGAGACAGCCTGAGAGAGAGAGAGAGAGAGAGAGAGAGAGAGAGAGAGAGAGAGAGAGAGAGA